GTGTCAGACAGAGCCTCGTCACGACGGCGCCGACGCGGTGTTCCATCCGACCAACCGTCCACGGAGTCCGCAGTCACCTGTGCACGCGGCACAACGCGCATAGGGAGTAACCGCCCTCACCTGGTTTAGCCCGCCGGTCGAGGCGGTTGCCTGGGGTGTGGCCGCTGAGCAGAGCCCAGCTACGTGGAGCCGCAGGTGAGAGTTGAGTGCCAGCAAGTGGACGCTAGGCGTAGTCTCACCTGCAAGCAAGTGAGCGACCACTACGACCTTCACGTGAACCCACCGCTGACACCCCTACACCACACACACACACACACACACGACAGTTCGACCATCGATTTCGATGATGTCCATTGATGTTGGCATTTATGGTTGTATTCAATCCGATAACGCTTGCCAGAATCCGATATGGTCCCCGTGTTGTTCCAGCGCATCTATTACGTTGCTCGTTTGGGAGGACACACACACATTTCGACGGTCGTTGCCGAGGGTGTCCATCGTGTACCCTACGACAAGGTGAAGCAGGCTCAGCGACTTGCGCAACTGCGTGGCAAACTTCGACGGAGTCTTTAACGCCCTGTCAAATGCTGCACTCTGCCTCATTGAAAACCTTCGAAGACGCTGGGACAAGTTTTTTAAGCCTGCAGAATGGAAGCTAGATTAAGACCAATGCGACGGGATACCTCCTCATTTGACTAGGCCTAAAGCACTTAAATTCGTCTTTTTATCAGAACTTAGGGTCAGGTCTATTTTGGCACTCCCACTCACGTGATATTCGAGATTACTCTAGAAGGGATCTGGTTCGTTTGGAGTTAGAGAACAAGTCATGTGTGGCTGTTATTCAGAACAATCACGCTCTCCTAATGTCGCTTTAAACTTCTCATTCCATGGTGCGTGTAGGTAGAAGCTGGACCTTCCAGCTAGGCTTGGGTTCATCTAGCATTTTTTAGGGTAAGGTGATACCATACTAACAGCACAGGTACTAACCAAAAACCCATACACTCGTGTTTCGCCGATATTCTGCCGCTACATGACGCAGCTGCGAGGGGTTCGACACCAAAGATGGCAACCCAGCGATTGAGGAAAAATTTGACGACTGCTGGAGTATTGAAGTCGGGCAGAGGGATAGTCTCCGGTCACCGAATGAATCGATCCGCACAGGTAAGGAGATAGGAACAGCCATTAGACAGAGGCTGGGCCTGCGATGTCCAGGTGTACGTGACTGAACAGTGCATTAGGATTGGGGGAAGGCTCTTTGTTGTGCGGTCGGACCATACTCCGCTGACAGCTGAGAAACACTCTTGTCCACGATTTCAGGTCCATGTGCATCCCAGACCAGACGAAGCACTCGGAAATCAGTTTGTCGATAGCTCGACTCACGGGGTACGATAGGTTGTGCAGGGAGGAGAAAACTTTGCGGCGGGAGAATGGCGGCACAAAAGGGCGGTGGAAGGTGATAAAGACGCCGCACGGAATGTTGCGGTTACCAGTAGTCAGTGGTAGGTCCTGGAGTTGGAGTCCGGAAACTTCCTCGTCACAGAAAAAACCAACACAGCGTTGCTCGGCAACCATCTCAGCTAAGCCGATCCTGGGTGAAAGTTGGAGATGGGCGATGGAGGGCCTGGACAGTGCGTCAGCCATCTCACTGCTTGACCCGTTGATGTGGTGGAAGCCTGAGGTAAACTGTGAGATGTAGTCCAGTTGGCGAATTTCCCGGGGGATTGAGTGCGAATGAGAAGTCTTGTGATCCATGAACACAGTGAAGTCCCTGCCATCAAGGAAGTGTCGGAAGTATATCACGGCGAGGAAGACAGCAAGAAGCTCCTGTCCAAATGTGCTATAGCGTGTCTGGAGAGGTGATGACGTCCTGGAGAAGAAAGCTAAGGGTTGAGTGTGACCTAGGTCAGTATAGGTCAGTATATCTTAAGAGCAATAGGCAGTGCCATTGAAAACCCTATTGTAAACTGTACATGCAATATCTAGTTTTAAACGAACACGGTACTAAAATGTTGTCAGCAATGTATGCACATAACGGAATATTTTTCATTGAAATGCAGGACCGTAACTCAAGAACATTCTGTCGTAACTGATATCGGTAAAATGAAATGACAGTCATCCGCATTAGCGGTAGGTGTATGCAAGGCGTTGGTTTGGCACCAGAAAAGTGTTCTGTCCAGACAAGCGGTATTGTCCAAGCAAATAGTCTTCGCTTGAACGTCTCCGTGGTATCCGCCATTATTACGTCCTCGGGAAGCCCGTTCCAGTCACCGACGACAGGCGTATTGTTGGAGATCCGCGCCGAATGCAACATTTGAGGCGCTAACCATGAGGGAGATAGAAGCATCGGGAGAAAAATGGGTCAGGAATATGGCGTCGGCCAGGGCAGCCTTCACCTTGTGAAAAGCAGCGAGGGTGTTTGCAAACAGCTCGAACGAACGTTTGGGACCAGAGAGGAGGCTCATGAGCGGCAGGATGGTGTCGGCACAGTGTGGGAGGAACCGGCGGTAAAAATTCACCACACCCAGGAATCGCTGCAGCTGACATTTCGACGAGGGAGGTGGGAAATCACGGATGGCCGTAACCTTCGAGAGCAGAGGATGGATGTCATTGACGTCAACCAGATGACTGAGAAATTCTAGGGTTGGAACACCAAGGACTCACTTGGAGGGGTCAAGAACAACGCCAAATAGTTGAAGTCGGTCAAACATCGTTGCAAGATGCTCCATGTGTTCTTCGGTGGTGAAGTTAGCTAGTAGAAGGTCGTCGATATAGGCGTAGGCAAACGGCAGGCCAGGTGGCACCCTGTACATGAACCTATGGATGTCCTGACAGGCATCTCGGGGTCCAAAATGCATGCACAGGAACTCAAAGAAGCTAAAGAGAGTGGTAAAGGCAGTCTTAGAAACGTCCTTAAGAGTGATTGGAGTCTGGTGGAAGGCACGGACCACGTGGATCTTCGATAACACAGATTTGCCTAATAGGGCACCGGGGAGATCTTGAAGATGCGGGACAGGGTAGCCGTCCAGGACGACAACTTTGTTCAGAGCCCCGTAGTCGTCAAAGGGACGCCAGTCAGCAGTGGTGGCCTTTGGAACCATGTGGAGGGATGAGGCCCATGGGCTTGGGATGATGCCCATCTGAAGCATGTGCTCTAACTCGGCCTTGGCGACTACAAGACGTGCAGGAGCGAGACGGCAGAACCGATAAAACCCGGGAGGGCCGGTGGTCCTGTGGCAGTTCGCGTCTCCTTGCCCCGCCTTCGTCACGCTGCTTTCATGTCCGCCTCACACTCTTTGTCTATACGCTGCTGGGACGCCCGAGGCTTGTCATTAGCTTCGCAAGTGCTCGCGGCAAATCTGATTGGCTGGCGGATGCCGAGACAACGAAAGGAGTACACACGCGCTAGGTTTCAGCACCTCGGAGGCGGACAGGGACAACACAACTTGCTTGGAGGACAAACTCGCTGCGACTGCTTGCTTAGCTTTATGTACTCATTTCTAGCAGTAAAGGTTGTCCAAACCAAATCCGCCTTCTCTTTTGGGAATCTTAGTCTTGTCGACCACATTCACCTTTCGACAGTCCGAATGTGATTAACAGAGTCGTGTGGTAGAATAGAAACGCTGAGGTTTGGATGGGTGAGACAAGGGTATTCGGCAAGGAGCTGCCGATATGGATGATCGAGTTCAGGGTCCAGGACAGCGATCTGACGGGAAGCGTCGGAAGAAAAGATACCCCTGAAGAAGAGGTTAGAAGACATGTCGCGTAGGCTGGACCGACGACGGTCGACCAGAAGATCGAAAGCGGCGAGGAAATCTGCACCGAGAATGGCACAGTGGATGTCAGCCACGACGAAACGCCAGTGGGAGAAGACGCCTGAGGCCGGCGTCCAGAGGGAGGGAGAGAGAGAGAAAGGTTCAAAACTTGGCGATTGGCGTGGTGTTGGCTGCCTGAAAGAAGAGACCGGGATAAGGGCACCGACGATCAGCTGCCGTCGAAGGAATGACACTCAGCTGCACACCAGTGTTGGCCAAGAAGCACCTGCACTCGGGGTGTTGCGGATGTAAAGTGGGCGACTAGGGTCAGAGCTGCCAGGAAGATTTGTCGCACTGACCATCGGGTCGACCCTTCTACCCGTTTGCTCTCTTTGGAGACGAAGGAGCAGGGAAGGATGCAGCGACGGGCTTTAGCACTGACAGTGGTGTAATACCAGCAGTTAATTGCTGTGTTGGGACGAGATGAAGGTATAGACTGGACACACCGGGAAGATGACCTCAGAGGGCTCCGGGATGACGAGGAGGCGGTCTATCCTCGAAGATAAACTAGATATTGGCAAGATTCATAATCTCCATCTCCAGATCAGAGGCTTGCGTGTTCGTATAACATCGGGGTCACCATTTGTCGAAGTGGTGTAATGGTAGACAACGACATGTCGCCAAATCGGAGGTCGGGAAGGCGGTTTGGTATGGACAACCTTTACTGCCGTTGAGTTGCGAACGCTAGGCTCTGCAAGCAGTCGCCGCGAGCGGTCTCTCCACACAAGTTAATCAGCGCTTGTCCGCCGTTGAGGTTATTAGCCCCCGGCGCGTATGTATGCCTTTCGCTCTGTCCCAGTTAGCGTCCGCAAGCCAGGTAGGGAAGGGACAGCTCAGAAGTCGAAGATGCGATCATGGGAACAGGAAATTTATCGGCCTGGCGTTTCGGATTTTACTCGAACCCATCATCAAAGACAGTCGCAAACAAGGGTAATGGTGGCACAAGGAGCACAGCATTTATAACACGTGGCTGCCGCAGGACCGCATATGCACTGTAATTCACAGTTCTCGTAATCACTGCTGGGGTCGTAATTGACGCGATGATGGCTTGTCACTCCACGTCCGAGTCGTTTATGACCGCGATTTCGTCATTCGTTTTGGACGCTGGTCTGACGCTTACCCGGTAAATTGGTTCACTGTCACTGGAATAATTGCTAGCCCGCGCCCGCCCCTCGTGATCGATTCCCCGGCCAAGGGAAATGCTCAGCACAGAATATGGTACCGGAGGTCATTGCGCTTATTGACGGATTGCGGGCCTAAGAACAATGACTCGAGCACCTCGCAGCTCACGCGGTTGTCATCCTTGCGAGGATTTTGGCGCCTTTAAATTTGAAAATATGGCCGGGTGCCATCGACTGAGCCGCCACCCGAGAACTAATGTCTCCCCACCTCACTGTCACTGCGTATTAGGCAATTCGCGTCCGGAGTAATCCTCCAGGCATTTCATGTCATCCAATCCGGAACGTTTTCTCTACTCTGACAGCCTTTGCCTTTCCTCTCGGTCAGAAATCATCCAGACGACTCCAGAAGGTGGCTAACGTACTCAAAAGTCTTCCCATCAAGTGCATTAACGGGGACATCAGCACCCCCTTGAAACTCTGTTCTAAATACAGTTTTTGCAATGGATGTGTAACTTCATTTCAGTTTTCATGCTTGGAACCTTAACTCCCCTCCAGTGACCCGAAGGTATTTAGATGTCAACTCTGTCGTTGGGATGCTAAGTTGGTTTGCAAACGCGTCTAATTGGCCTTACTGCTGTGTCTATCCGACCACTGATAGGCCTCTCTTTTGAAGTCAAAGGTCCTTGTTCTTTACTTCCTGATATTCTTTCATCATCCCATAGCTTGGGAGCAAAATGGTTAAGTATTCTTATGCCATCCACCTCCCTTCTATTTCTAAGAAAATCTACAGGGGTTTAAATAGCCCGCACAATTTTCGTCTGCACACATGAAGCTTTGTTAAAGATAAAACAGCTGGTCCACTGGAGGAGGGGAAGCAGTCTGATGGAGGGCGGCTAGACCTGCGCAGGTCATTATTTTTTTAGCACATTTTCATGGGTCCGTGATCTGTTGGGTGGGTGACTGGCAGAAAACCAACGAGGGACTGGGAAGCTGACGGGTACTCATCGTCCGACTTCGTGGTCTCTCATCAAAAAACAGATTGATTATGGGGAAGTCATGCGTAGCGGGTGCGCAACAAGAATTTAGAAACGCCTACGCTCACAACGGCGACCTAGGTAGCATTCACTGGACAAGAAGAGAATCTGGGATACAAAGCTAACGCAGTGGACAAAAAGGTTCCTCAAGGCCAACCTATGCTTTTCCCGTCGTTGTCGGCGAAGGGCTCAAGGTCTACAGCTTGAAGTCACTAAGGAAGAACAAAGGATGTTTTCCAGATACCCTGCCGGTAACTAATAGGAGACCGACTAGCCTGTGATTGACTTCCTCTCGGATTTGTGCGAGAGCTCTATCCGATGTCCTAAAGACGCCCTGCACGCGTGGGACGCTCCAACATGATCTTGGTCAAGTTAGCTGTTAATTTCGCTTCCTTGGGCGCATTTGACTCCTCCCAATTAATGCTCATATATGTGCGTTTTTGTCTGAATAGCCCTCATCGGCGTTTAATCGCATTCTGTTTGAGGGCTGATGCAGTAAAATTTCCTTCCGCCCGTCGTTTGCGTTACATGGAGAAAAATGTACATGCAGTGGAAGTTGTGCGCACAATTATCCAGCCTCTGAAGATAAGCGGACGAGATCTCTGTTCGAAATGTCAGAACGAAGGAATAAATCCCCGTCCAGCGAGCTCTCTCCGTCGTTTTACATGCTAGCATGAAATTGTATGTATGTCCCACGTTATGGACAAGTAAAGTCACTCGTTCACTGGAGACGCAGGGCTTCGGACGGTAAGTGTCGCCGTTTATTGTATTCACCGCATCTAGCTGCCATGGCCGTCTGCGTTTACAGCAGGTACCAATAATTTTGGGCTTATTGGCCAGTCGCTTCTCGTGTGTATGGCAGGTTTAAAGCTCCCGGTTTAAAGTAGATATGATCTAGTGCCAAATAAGTACAAGAAATAGGACCCTTATGGAGGTTTTCTATAAAATATAGCTGGATTTAAGGAGGTATCATAAATTGACGGAGAAAATGAGCATTATTTAAACAGTCCTTTTTTATCAAGTGTGGATTCTAAAGGCAGCCGAAAAGAAGTGCATTCAAAAGCCAACATCCTGGCGTGTCTGAAAGGCACTACTCTACCTTGTTTCCCTATTAACTTCAAGGACAGTGAAGTAAGTGTAAAGACCGTACAATAAGGGCGCCAGGTGTGTTCCCTGCCTGAAGGTCTAAAATATAAGTCTAGAGTGAGGAACGTCGCGAAGACTGGAGCGATCATCTTAGACGCCACTGCCAGGGCAAGAAGAACGACTTATAAGTCTCATGTGTCGAACTAGCAACTCAAGCACAAAGTCACTTTGACCGTGTCCAAGTTATCGACAGACTTTTAACGAACAGATTAGTCCCATTAAACATCTTCGAACACAATGTAACGTCAAAACAGCAACTCACCCCCTCAGAAAATGTCGCCATTGGCAACGTCATTAATGGGTACAATTGCGTAATTATTTATTACACCGACAACACAGGTACTAGCTAAAAGTCCAAACACACGTGTCTCTCCGATCATATGCCGCTGTCTGACGCAGCTGCGAGGGGTTCGGCTTACCAGTTGGTCGCCCAGCCTCTCCCACGTGTTTTCTCGTACATAAAGTACAATTTCATTATGCCTTGGTTAATTTCCGAGGAAACTGATTCGAGAACGTGGAGTAAATTATTCGGAATAGACCTTTTCAGACACTACCCAAAGTTGGTGGAATATTTGAGCTGAGATCCATCAGTTACTGTGGAATAACCACGCAATACTCGTATGGGGAGGGCTGGGGGACCCACAGATTGGCCGAACCCCTCGCAGCTGTGTCAGGCAGTGACATAAGATCGGGGAAAGACGTGTGTCTGGGTTTTTAGCCAGTATGTGTGCAGTCAGTATGGTAATTAACCGCGTAATTGTATATTGCTGGCGGCCTGTGAGCGGTTTGTAAATATTAAGCGGTTATTCCGCAGTAGCCTATGGATTTCTGTTTAGTTATTCATATCAACTTTTGAACTGTGCCTGATAAGGTCTATTTCAAAGAATTAACTCCAAGCTTGTGCATTAATTTCCTCGGAAAGTAAACAAGACAATAAGGGACATTCCTGATACGATGTTAGCCACTACTGCTACAAGTTCAATCTCAAACTCTCTCCACTGCCGTCGCTCCAGCGTTTTGTGCATCAGCCTTGTCAATCCTTAGTAACTCTATTAAACTTATATCGGCGAAGATCCAACACTCGCCTGTCACCTGTATCTCAGCTACTGATAGTGCATTTGGACATTCAGACACCGAATACGTCTCTCAGACATCTCCACCTCCTGGCCGCATCATGCTGACAGATGGCCCTGCGCCACAAATGAGCTCCCCATAAATTACCGTTCAACTTCTGCAAAAGTTTACTCCTCTGGCAGAAAACATGCGCTCAATTTAGCCCACAGTGTGGGAAAAAACATCGGACGTCTGCATATGCACACCTCAAGGAATTGGAAAGAGCGTCATTTAATGAAGTTAGCAACAACTTCGTTTGGGACAAAGTGATACTAGACCTATCGGTATATATATATATATATATATATATTATATATATATATTTCCCTGGGAAATTAAACAAAGTTTATTTCGTAAATTTTCGAGTCTGGTTCCCCGGTTCGTCGTCAAACGTGTAGCAAGTGTGAAAAAACAGTTAAAATTCAAACATGCCCGAAAAATCGATATTGCCTTGTCAGTGCTGAGGATGGGTCAATGTCGGACTTATTTTCTCAAATTTCCCAGAGAACTGGTTATCACGCAACTTGCGGTGACTCCATACGCTGTCGAGAATTGCCGCTTTGAGGATCCCCCGCTCGTGTGCCGTAAAGATCGACTGGCAAGTTGACGAATGATGTTCAATCATCTGGCGGTACTTGTGAATTCGGACAAGAGCCGAACACTGTCTCACCGATGCGCCCGCGAAGCTGAATGCTGCTCACATGAACAGCGACGGCCGATCTGTCCACCGGCTGACGTGGGAGAGGCCAAACGGTACGTTGATTTGACTACAATTACGCCGACCCCAAAGGGAACAAAGGTCACGCAGGCCTGTCAGCGGTCAGTCCGTTGTAGGTCTAATTCAGTCAGCGGTAAAAAGACAGGTCAAAGTTCATGCGTCGCGCACGGCTATAATACGAGGCAAGCGGCAAGTGGCAAGACTGAACAACTCAAGACCGGCAAGTGCAACAATTACGCTACTCTGATGATGGACACGAGGAAGTTCCCGAAACGTCAGTTCGAATACAATATGGTCCATGAATTCGCCCTCTCTTCTTCTTCGTCTTCTTCGGGAGATGATGAACGCGATATGTCTGTAAATACCGCGACACCAGCAGGTTTGGTGCAGGTGAAAATTTGGCTTTATTAGAAAACCACTGGATACACATATGATTCTGAGCAATCATCGGAATTTGGCCATTGAATGTTGTACTTCGTTGCCACCTTTAGAAATTTCCCGGAATATTAGAGACGCTGAGGTTTACCTTTTTTAGTAACCGATGTAGTTAGTATGTAGCTCAGTTGTTTATATCCATCTCACTTCCGATCTTCGTTTGCCACCTATATTTAACTGCCTTTCAGTCAGCATTTTGAGTCTTGTGCAATTCTAGCCCTTACTAGCAGTATCACTTAGTTAGAGCGGCTTATTAACGTGTATTAAATCCAGTTTCGGCATCTGTTATGAAAAAGAATTCCTGTCTGTCCAATACTTAAACATGGGATGGTTTCCAACAAATGGCAGCTTTTAAATCTGCGAATCAACTTCAAGGCCGACGCAGACAGCCGAGCGCATACCATCTTGCCTGCTTTATGTGAAATCATGGCCCTTTACGTGTGGGCCAGGTGATCACCACTTTGGGTCGTCGTTGGCTTCGGAAGATTGGGCGCTTGCACAAACGTCTTCTGAAGACGAAGCAGTGTTTCATCATAGAAATGGCCATTGTCTCGGCTCTTTTTAACACCCATTGGCATTAATAGTTACACTACTTTGCTGTTGTCCGATAGGTAACCCCAAAAGCTTGTTTGGCGTAAAAGTCCGTGATGCTCGTCGACTAGGTGTGCAATAGACAAAATCGAAATATTTTCACCTAAATCTGACAAAGCGGGTATGTGCCCGCGTATTGCGGACAGCCAGGTACTTGGTCAGCCGGTTTCCTAAACTTATGAGCTCTATTGAAACAGATCCAGATGCGATGGATCGGCCACATTCTAAAGGTAACTGACACGCCTACCGAACTGACTCGTTTTAGAACGTCCCTCGGTCGCACATAAGCAGGGTAAACAAAGTTACCCCCTAAAACCCCAGCTCAGTCAAGAGATCAAAGAGAAATTTGCATAGGATCGGCATACCTGAAAATCTGAGGCAACAGTCTTCGAAGTCGGTCGAATTCAGGAGCTTCTGACAAAGCCAAAAGCACGCTACACTAAAAGGTATTAAACAAATGTCACCATCAGCTAAGCCAGTCAAAATGCCTTCGTTGATAATCCTTTCATCTGCTGACTTAACTTGTATCACACCCTTGCTTTAACCTCAGTGGGAAAACGACTCATGTGAATCAAATTACCAGTACGAGCATGACAAGCGCCGACAAAGGACTTGCGTCAGATCAGGGAGTGCATTCATGCTTGTCGCCAAACTCCTTTTCACAAGCCTAGCCCAATTATGTTTTTGTCAAAAGGCACTGGCGTATGCCACTGAATATGGCGGATAGCAGTTTCCCCAATGCACTGTTAGACACCAAACCGACCCTCATTCTCATCATCCCCATCATTACAGACTCCTCTTTGCTCTGGTCATTTTAAAGCCATGATAGGAAATAGAAAAGCACCTCTTATGAATGAAATGATGTGATATATTCCTAACAGTCGGCTGTTAATTGCTCTTCGGCTAGAGTAAAAACAAATGCAATCAACTCGACATCACTCGGTGGATGTTACTGATACAAAATAATGCCGTACAGCGGACAAGAAAACATAGTCTGTGAGCTAGACTCTGCGTATCTGCTTCCAAAATATCTTTTTTTCGCGTAAGTATTTTGCTCTCTGCCGATGGTTACGCCAATTGTCTCGAATCCTCCACGGTTGGGTACAAAACATCGACTTTGATGTGAACGAAAAGGCCATCGTATTTCAATGTTCGCTGTCGAACTGCATACTGGACATGCAGATAGGTATCAGTGTGCCACAGTTCTCGAGCTCTTTTGAGTCTCTGCTTCCTAATAAAGAGAACAGGGATTTGATGTGTTAAACTTAGTCATATCGTCAGCAGATTAAGAGAATAAGTTCTGTAAAGCATTTAAAATAACTCTTTCAATACCTTTTGGGGTTTGCGGCATTCCCAGCATCTCTCACATGCTTCATCATCTTATAACGAGCAATTGTGAAGTTGCGTCGCGTCAAAGTTAGGTTGGAGAATGTAAGACGCCTGTACATGTCGTCATCTTCGCAGCCCCATCCAAAGTAAGTGTTTGCATATCCCAGCGTACTTTCGAAATGCCTTCTTGTCATCGCCACTGCCCCACCAAAGATGGCTTTGTAGGGCAGACTGGGTTAGGAAATCAAAATCCTCAATTTTACCATAAAATAATGGACGTAAATTAGATTGATTTAAAAAGAGTTGCACTTTCGAAATATTATATCAAATAATCAATTGAAAACTGACACAAGAGACTATATGACACAAGGATTGAATATACAAGGTGACTGATAAAATGGGATACAGGACCTCCTGTAATACGGGAAGGATGTTACGATTAGTTATATCAGTAGGGCAGACGGTCACCTAAATAAACAGAATTCGCGGAGGCCGTCGAGAAAACTCAATTTCCTGTAGCCTTTGCTTTATTACTCCTACGAGTGGACGAACAGACAACGCAATTTAAAAAATACCAATTAAAGGCTTGAAAATGGATGGAGAACAGTTAACTCAAGGTTACTGGGTAAGGCGGTACGCAGTAGGCAACTCCAACCTTAGTGACGATTTTACTGTAACCCCAAATCTTCCTCTAATCATGATCGTCTTGCAAATATTCAGACTGGTCTGAAACACATTCCTTGACTTCTTAGCTATGCATTGGTTCCTGACGAAACATTTCAGGCGCACTTTGGAGTAGTTTTGGCAGAATGACAACCACTTTTCACTTTTGTATGTAGTAGTTCCAAGGTAAAGGGAGCCGAGTTCTGAACTACTGACATTTGTTGGAATTCATTGACTGGTACTCGGAATAAATCCTCTACCGAAGAAAAGTTCTATCATATTTCGTAGTTTAATTGTACGATTGTGTATCTAATGGGTGCAGAGGCATGATTTCTTAATTTTACCGAACCCAACACGACCCGAAATTGCGTAGGCCTCTGAGGGACGTTTAAGTAATGAAATTGGACTGGACGATGAATTGCCACATATTGCCAGATGTCATCCAAGGTCGAACGTGGGGCACTAAATTAACAAATGGCCGACAATGACCTCGTTGTCGTGCCTGTGGACAAGGGGTTCTCCACGGTCGTATTGGACTGGACAGACTAAATTCCGGAAGACAAACGCTTGTTAGAGGATCGTCAGTCCTATGTTCCGTTCGAAAACAACCCCATAAAGTCGCTGACATGCGAGATCAACGCGACGCTGTTGGCAATGGAAAACTCACGTGCATTATCACAGATCGACCGATGAGTGGCGGGGGTGCAAGAAACGACCCTGATCCGATTCTGCCAAACATGCACAGAGAGTGCGCTCCTCTCCAGCCAATCGTATCACTAAAAGGCACTCGAACCTACAGACGGACAAAGTGGCTATTTGTATTTCTTAAATTTCTGACCCCCGATTCGAACACCACAGTCAGCTCGTCAACACAATTCTTGAAAAAAATAAAAGACGTCATGGTATATTTTGATGTCACGTCCCTTTTTACTTCTATCCCGACGGAACTGGCAGTCGAGACAATCGGACTACTCTTACGAAACAAGTACGATGAAACGGAGAATCACCTCGGATACGCCCAAATCCTCCAACTCCTACAGGTCTGTCTCAAGACGTACTTTACTTTCGACGGAACCACTTACGAGCAGATGAAGGATAAACCAATTGGTTCGCCGGTTTCAGGACATATAGCCAGGGTGGTGATCGTGAGAACTGTTAAGTATAATACGCATGTGGCTCCGTGGCAACTACGAACTATAAATACTGCAGTCTTTGTGCCGCCAATACCTGTATGTGCGACTGTCTCCGATGATGGTTTCGAATGAGTATCCAAAACGTCAGGCCAATAGACTTCCTGTTCCAGCAGTCGCATCCACACTATCCTAATGATCATGCTCTTCTTCTTCTTCTTCAGTATAGTCTTCTTTTTTTCTTCTGAAAAAAGGACATTCTCATTGCCCGAATCGATAACAACCATCAGGCACCAAGTCAAGAAGCTGAATGGCCCGCTGCCACGGCAGGAAGCATTCTTGTTACCTGAATCGATAGTAAAACCGCCCCTGGACAACCATCAAATGAACACTAGGACGTGATATAACGTATATTTTCTGCCATCTACTCGGCCCATCGGCGACAGTGACCGAAACACCCCGGACCCGTCTGTTGCGTCTGACTGGGCCACTCGGTCTGGTGTCACCGTGTCGCCGATTGATATACTGCTCGCCACTGGTTGGTCTCAACCAGACACCGTTCACGCGCACGCTCACGTTTCGTCCTATCAGACGAAAAAACAACAGATGGCTGTGGACTCCGTGGGACCTTCGATGTCGCCTCTGCACTCTCTCAGCCACACCTACAACTGTGCTACCCACAGCTGTCTCATTTACTTGTGACTTGGGGAACTTCTCACTGGAGACCTAGCTCAGCAACAACCAACATCTGAATAGGCATGACTCAGGAAAACAAATGTCGAGTACCACCATTCAGCGACCTCCGACTATGAAGAAGGACTTACGAGTAATTAAATTTGTCGATATTAGCAGACATGTGGAGGGGTTGATCCTCGCACGCGTATTGCATTCTGTCATCCTCGGGTAGGAGGTCAACATCGTGGAAAATGAAGCAAGAATAATCGGCCGCTTTCACTGCCTCCCTGTACCCGATATTAAGGAGTGCAGCCCGATTGAATGTCTGGGGTGTAACCTGTAGGGGTAACAGAGGCCAATCAGAGCTGTTTCAATGAAGGGGGGAAGGAAGGGCTGTGCACAGTAGACGGGGAGACTTCTGAGGGGTGTGCAGAAGGTGGCCTTGGCGTATGTACAAACAGTCTGATATGCGAGGTCCATGAAGTGACCTATTGTAACTCCGCATTTTGTAACATGCAGGCATTTTAAACATATAGACAAACAGGCTACTTTTCTAGATCACTTCAAAACCACAGTGCGTGCCGCATGGATAGGTGAAACGATGTCAACCGGCTTTAATACTGTCTTATGATTGAAATGGTTACTTTGTCAGGTTTAGTGCCAATTGCTGGAATGACCCGTATTTAACTATTAGGTGCTTCCTACCAGAGAGTTGGGAGATGGCTGGCTGACAATAGCCAAGCTGATTGGAATGGCCGTAAAGTTCTCCCTTGACATTGATACTGACACCTGTGGATATCTAAGAAAATGTTTTTAGACCTTTTATGCATTAATTAATGTACTAAAACCTCTTCTGGATTATGCTGTGGTAAGCGTAAATTTGTCGGATTGTACTGCGAGTGTGATTTGCGCGCATTGACAAGCCGTTGGGGTTTATACTCGTGAAATTAGAAATGCCCCATTTCACGAATCCCGATTCCTCCACGGAACGCGTTTATCAGTCTGCGCAGATTCTTTGCGAACCTAAAACTACTCGGGCATATAGTCGCAGGGATGGGCATAGGCCTCACGTCGCGCCAACCACGACAGCCAATCTGAGCGTCAGATGACTGGCCGGTCTAAAAGTGGACTGGTACATTTAAAAGGGGGGAGAAAGTGCGGCTCTGGCCGGGAAATCAGTCTCCACGACAAATCCTTACATCACCCCATTATTGGTACATCTGACAGTCCAGAAACTGCTGCGAAGCGCAAATTTTCATGATCTGGAAGTATGACAACTGACGGGCTAACTCGTTCTATCTCATGACTCAGGATCAGTCATAAGGGATACTTTAATGCCAATTTATAGCCCTTTCACACTTGTGAAATTCGAAATGCCCACTTCGCGAAACCTAAGTGCAGTGGCTGAGTACGAGATGGCGCGCTTCACGTCTAGATAAGCTGCTAAGTTTTATCTATGCTTTTGTGCGCAAGCCAGAGTCTAGGCGTCCTGACGACCTTTTGCTACAAGTTGTATACTTTCCATGCACGGAAATTCGCACATTTCTCAATGGTATTATGAGGTAGTTCATAAAATTGAGCAGTGGATTTGAGCCGCAATGCAAACACTATAAGGACATTACTAAATGTCGAAACACGGTGTTTTATGAAGGGACACTTCACGGTATTAAAAATCGCATAATTAGAAACTTTTTTAAAACCAAATTATACACTTTCTTCGAGTATTAATTGGAAGAAGACGTAATCTTCTAAAGAATGAGCAAAACAGTGAATATTTTGTGGATGGTTTCCACAAACTATAATTTAATTCTTAAGGGCATCGAAAATCAGTGCAAAAAATCATGCTACATTAGTAATTGTTCTTTACAGTGTGGTTTTTGCATGCAGCCGGAAAGAAGTTCGTTCAAAAGCCGGCATCCCGACGTAAATGAACCGTTTTTAGAATTCTGCTGCAGGATGATTAATTTTACAGTGCTACTTGAGTGCCCCACTCAAAAGCAAAACATATTTTAGAATTTCGGTTGGCAATTCATGATTAGTACACACACTCTAGTTGAGGAAGGGGTGAGTGCGGCAAATGCTGCTAACGTTTACCTCACTACAAGCTAACTCATGCACAAGTCACCGTCCTCCACGAATAGCGTCATGGGTAACACATGACGGACATTGCTGTTCGCGATGTCCGAACTATGAAGGCGTTGCATGGAGGAAATTCCGATCATTTCAACCTACCTGTTCAATCACATAGATTGTGTACCGTCGACGTTGATGCCGCATGAAGGAGTGCATGTGGTTGAGAAAGACGGAGAGATTACCGTATCTGTTTCGGAATGGAATGATGACTGCAACTGTTTCTGGCTGAGAGCAGCCAACTGGAGTCCAAACGATTGGTGCGGGCATGGGATTATCACCTCCGTGACGTTCCAGCCTGTAGTTGACGTTCGTGAAATTTGATTCACCAGTCCAAGTAATTCTTCCTGATGGTATTCCCCTTTTAAGCGCCAACTCAGCAAACGGCACAAATGCCATGCTCACATTGAGCCTGCCAACTGTAAATGGGCACATTTACCGCATTTGCACAATACTTGCCATATTATCCTGGAAACTAATATGGGCCGATTTCAAGAATGAAAAAAACTGTAATGTATATATCCTAATGCCTACTATTTTGAGCCTTGCAGCCAAAAATGCCTTACTGAGGACAGTGCGTGGGATTGTTTTAGCAAGAGCGCAGTATTACCGCCCATTCATTTTGCTACGCACATTAATTTGTCTGTTGAGTTAGATTTACTCGGATGTAATAAGCCACTGCGGTCGAGGTGTACGAGATAGCTTAGGCAATAGAACTCGCAGTCGGGTGGAGGGTAACTTCCCGCAGTTTCCCTTATATACACCCTTTACTATGTCGTGCTTGGATGGGCGAAAGGAAACCGAGCTCTTAGTCTTATTTTGCGACATTTCTACGAGTCCGTATGCCGAAAAACGATATCTAAATTATTTGGGAATGAGTTTCCGGAATGCTATTTCCCTGCAAACTGAGTATTTGGTCGAATCTTGTTCAAAATTCTACTCACAAATTCCCTTGCTTCAGAGGGTTTCCTTAATTTAATACGCCAGCCTGGTCACTCAATTTGGCAAGGATTAAGTGTCGGCGCGGGGCAAGGAAGTGCTAACTGGTGGACAGAAATGGTGGTGATCTGGGAAGTGGGGGCGGTTAAATCGAAAGTCAAAAACTGCCGCGAGGCATTTTCTGTGGTAAAATAGTAAACCAAATGCAGTTACGTAAGTAAAAAATAATAATAACTTAGTCAGAAAAATTTAAGAACATGAATGTGCCGCCGCTGCCAAATATACGTGAGTTCGGAGTCCAAGGTGGCCGATAGGGAGAAAGAGCTATAAGTGGCAGGTGGTATCATCAGCGTACCAGGAAATAAGCAAGGTGTATAGGAGATAGGGCGACTCCTTGGGCAGCGGAGCGATGTGGGCGCAAACGAACGGAGTGTATTACCGTCTGGGGATTGGACAGTAAAACGCAAAACTAAGGAATACGTTGGAAACTTTTCTGTCCGATATTGAGGATGTATATCCTCTGCAGCGACGCTACGGCAACCGAATTACTCACCGTGTATGTAACCTTTTATAGACGAAGGCAATCTGACTGATCTGTCTGTGATACGTTGGGTGAAGGAAAACCAGGCCGTTAATCGTAGAGGATATGGAGGAAGTCGTGTCACAATATTTTCCGTTGGGTACTCGGATACGACAGCGATAAGTGTGCTTCTTGCAGCCACCTAACTGACAACACGGAATACGTGTGGGAGGGGCATGGCAATAAGTCCATGCAAACACTGCTGCAGAACAGTGTTCCCGGGTCGGTTTGGCTCAAAGAATGTCCTCCTTCCTCGATTAGGGCGATCAAAGTGCCTGGCTGGATTCCGACTGAAAACGTTTTATTTTGCCTTTTACTAAAGAAGTACGTGCTAGTGGTGAAGAATTATGATCCCGAACGGGTAAGTATACGGCAATGAGTACTCGGGGTAGAAGGGATCAGCGAATGTTATCCTGCTACGGTTGAAGCTGACGAAGGTTAGCACTGGAATTCAGTCGACAATAATATAGTTTCATTCCTACCAAATAATTACTTGTGGGGGGATGAAGAAAAATAAGCCAATATAGACATTTTAGCTGCACTGGATCCTCGGGAGGGTGCAGGTCAGCAAATGTCATCCTGCCGACGAAGGGCCGAATAAAAACTCCACAGAACAACACCTACATTGAAAAATACAATGATCGTAAACATGCGCAACATCAACCACCCTCTCTCCTCCATCCCAACCAAGGCCCCGGTGTTAAAACGTAGTCAAGAAGACCGGAGTTGAGACCGGGGGGGCAGGTGGATGGCCCACATAAACTCGTGCCACACGCCAAATTTGTGAAACCACACCTGTGCGGGTCAACTTGAGTGAGAGTGTCAAAGAGGCTACATTAAAAAGGACCCGCAGCAGCATGCATTGGTGGATTAGAACACGTCAGATTGTGATCATTGTGCGTTTATAGTCGTCCTCAGTCTCTCTGCTCTATTCTGTGCACCAGTCCAAATCAATCAACCAACTGATGTTGAGATTGGGGGAGGCGAATAACACAACCAAAAGCGATATCTCTGCGCGTGCCATACACGACGGCCCAGAAATTTTCATGAACGGATCTCACACACAGCGAAGGGAGCGTCCGGAGAGGGAGCCGATGAACACTCCTCACACATACGTGACAGGTGCCTAGTCTGGGCCAGCAGTGTGTGTGGTGTCGGACGTATTCATGCGTGGTACGTGTGTTGACAGGAAATTGTGTGGTGCCGTGGATTACTGCAGGTTTTCACGGAGACGCATGTGAACGAGCAGACCCATGCGGGTGCCGAATGTGCGTGAGAAATGTGGACAGCTGTGGCGCTGGCGACGGGTGTATGTTGGTGCTCCAGACACTGGTGTGCTGGTCTCTCTGCGATGGATTTACTAATAACCGAACAGGCCGATGTGCTATGAGCATATGCGAGGGCAATGAGGGCGGGATAGGCTAGGAGATGTAGAATCGGTTTCAGTGGTGATGCTGATGGTGTTGGCCATACTGACAGATTTGAAATTGGTGGTGCTGGCGGTGAAGAGGCTGTCGGGTGTACGAGGTGTTCCTGGACCATCAATACCAAGATAAGTCCCATTGTCGTGCATATGCATGCACATTATACTGCATATTAAGCATATTTTTCTTCTAACATTTATCTGTAATATTTTCTTCTCTATGGACTGTCCTTATTTTTACCTCTTCGGGCCCGTATACCGTCTAGATAGAGTTGAATTTGTATTTACAGACGACCGACAACTTAACTGGTGATATCCTTATTACGTTTCTAAGAGGGGTTAGAGAGAACTGAGCGATTACATGATTATTTGTTTCTTTCATGCAAGAGGACGCTATTTCGGCTAGATTTATTCCTTCTACAAAAACCTGTTTACCAACAACAGCCTTAGTGTCCGAATTGTCTTATATTGGCATAGCTTACCAAAAGTAACGGAGATGCAGAACGGCTAAAAGGAAATGGACAAAAGGCGTTCAAACACATTGCATATAAGAATATTGTCCACGTTTCATATTTGGCCTGACAGTTACTTATTTGATTTTTTCATACTGAGGCATAACATCAAGTCAAAGGCTTAAACTGGCGTGCTGACACATCACTGTGTCTGACTAACCATAAGCGGAAATTTCCACTGTCCGAAAAAATAATGGAACGTTGCGCAAATACTAAACGGCTAACGATATTGACAGCATGTGTACTAGGCATAAGCCAAATAACATGGTAAAGCATTTAGTATTAGCATACTGGTGACTGCCTGACGCCAGCCGGTAATCAGTGCGCAGACAAGCAGCAGTAGCTGATGGGTTACAGATCTATTATTTGTTTGTTCATCTAGGATCAAGTATAAACGCTCTGTTTGGTAAAATGTATTTCGGGTTTACGAATTACTTTCTTCAAAAACTGAACGAGACCGTTAAACATTAATAAAAAATGTTAAAAATACATTATTTAACATAATAACGTTTGTAGTTTATAGTAGTAAGTAATTTCTGCACCCAAAGCCTTGCCTACTTTACAAGTAATGTTGCTTACAGCATCCTGTGCTAAGCACATGTTTGTGGTTAACCTAGCTTTTTAGCATCCAATGCCTGTAGATACACCAGTGGAAATTAAACCAGCAAACTACACCCAAATTACAGCATAATCAGATGACCCTCAAATGCTTATCAGGAATGACAGGGAACAGATTTGGAAATTGTACATCCACTTCTCTCCGTGAGAGAAGAGAATAGACCTTACTCAGGCTTGAGCCTCGTCTGTGGAAGCATTGTCTCAATTGGAGCAGATTCAGATGAACTGGAAATAAATTCGGCCTCATTGGACATCCGGTAGGCGTCTGCAGATCAGTGTGTGACAACTTTCTCCGCGCCGCCGGTCGAACGTACTTTGGTTTGGAGGCGGGAGTTTAGAAGAACAAATCATGGTGCTCCGTCACTTCCAATGACCCGACACGACCGACTTTGCTGTGGCTGCTATAATTGCTACACAGACTCCCACTAACTGCAGTGAAACTTGCACACGGACATCAGCAATACTGAATTTGGGCTAGATTATCCATCCACATAACGGGATCCGCGTCAGCGTCTCCCTCGAGAACCGGTCATGACTGACCCCGACATGAGAAAGAGTTCGAAATTTATCCCAACCAGACAGAATACGGTGGCGATGTAATTGCAGTCTTCTCAGGCAAGAGTACCCGTTCGACCATTTGAGTGGTTAATTTGTTGGTACTGACCCATTAACACCTCAAATCTTTAGTTTACAACACCCAGTGCCAGGTGGTCACTTAATTAGTTAGCACGCATTTCAGGAAAAGCAGAACAGACTTTAATTGTAGTTAAAACTAGACTGTATAAAGGTTCGGAAAGTAGTTTCGGGAAATATTAAACCAAATGCAAATAAAAACGGGATTACCTTAGCTATGGGGCCAACGATGGACCTAGAGCGAGAAGTTAGTGGGAGGTCTACCTCAAATAATCTACGAAGGATGAAAAGGCATAGTTAGAAATTCTGAAAAATGTCCGGACCAACATGTATCTCTGGGCAATCGATGAAGCAAACATAAGTGTGGAATGAAGGCACCGAGGTTATTTTCAAACAGTGCCAATGCATTTAAATGCAGTTACCCCACACGTTTATAAATAGAAGCAATTGTCTATGATGGTGTTTAGGCTTTAAAGTGGAAACGCCCGCATGGGCTTGTAGAAACACTGTAAGTATAATTTTCCCTCAAATAGACTATCAAAACGCACTTTCTTAAATGAAAGCTTCTTATTTAGATAGTTGAGCTACTTGATGGTATCTGGCTTCCAGTGTGTCAAAGACAGATATGCGTGAGGAAATTGTAGTTTTTCCCATTCGAACTGAAATTTTGTCCCTTCGCCCGCATTGCATATTTAAGACCTGATTTGCAGACACAATGTGACATCAATCGCTATCATTTACACAACTTCTACAATTCAGTACTCGCTCCATCTGATAATCTGCAAATATGCGTTATGGCGGAAATTTAAACAATTCCATCAGGCCTCCGGCGTCCTCTTATGGCGTTAAATGATCACTAGAGCTAGTACCTGTGCTGTTAGTATGGTGTCTTGTAGTCCTAAAATAGACTAATAATTTCCTTCTAGCAGTTGATGAATATTACTCGGTAATCCCTCTGTGGCTGATGTATGTCGACTCAAGTACTCATACATCCAATTTCGTCTGCGCATACAGACCTCAGTAGATACAGTTTTGCCGCAGGTTCACGGCTAATTGCTGAGGAAATTAAAAAGCAGTAGCTGAATCACTCCTTACAGAGTCAAAACAGCCACCTACACGTCTTATTTGTAAAGGAGACTTTGGAACCACGAGATACCTTTGAAGGCTTACAGTGCTATCGCTAGACTGCTTATTATAAATTGCTCATCTGGTCTCTTTTGGCATGTACTTGATCGCCATATTATTCTCATCGGTAATTAAACAGGTTTTACCATTTAATTGCAAACCGCGTATAATTTCAAAGCATGACATTTTAGCCGTTCATAGCATTTACGGGTTGAACAGACAAGACCAATTTCCGCCCGGTGTACAATTTGTCAACGTAGAAGAATATCTCATTGAACATTTCATGATTTGAACACAAGCTTACAGTAGATATGCTAACTCATGAAATGTCAACCAAAATTTCGAAATGCGTTTTCGTTCCGAAAAGATAAATTGAGTAGTGTTGTAAAACTTATCAAGATGCAGCATAAATCTATAATGATCCAGTTACTTACGGGTTCCGGCTTTCGAAAGAACTTACTTTCGGCTGCATGCAAGCTCTATATTCTGCAAAAAAGTGACTACTTAAGTAGCATGCAAATTTCTCATTGATTTTCGATGCCCTTGAAAATTCAATTATATTATATGGAAGACGTGCATAAAAATATTTATTCTTCTACCTATTCGGTAGAAAATCACGTCTTCTTCCAATTTCATACTCAAAAGAAGAGTATAATTCGGTTTTAAAAAACTTTTCTAATTCCCGAATAATCTACAACCCGACCTGTTGTTACACTTGCATTCAGGGTTTTAAAACTACAAGCTGTATATTTTCCGTGTACGGAAAACCATGCATTTCTCTACGGTGTTAAGAGGAGACTATATGAAGTTCATAAAATAAAGCAGTGGATTTGATCAATATTGTTGACTTTACAAGCCATATTCGTAAATGCAGATACATGACGTTTCATGAACGGCCATTTAACGGTATTAAAAAATCTCACAATTAGAAACTTTTTAAGACCGAATTATACTCTTCTTTTGAGTATGAAATTGAAAGAAGACGTGATTTTCTGCGGAATAAGTAAAATAATGAATATTTCTACGCATGTTTTCCATGAAATAAAATTGAATTTTCAAGGGCATCGAAAATCAATGAGAAAATTGCATGCTACTTAAGTAGTCATTTTTTGCAGAGTATAGATCTTGCATGCAGCCGAAAGTAAGTTCTTTCGAAAGCCGACACCCTGAGGTAACTGGATCATTATAGATTTATGCTGCATCATGATTGGTTTTACAACACTACTCAATTGATCTTTTCGAAACGAGAAGGCATTTCGAAATTTTGGTTGACATTTCATGAGTTAGCACATCTACTGTATATTTTGCATACGTAATTTAAGGACCACAAAACACAGAACTTTTCGAGTTACACAAAACCTTCCATCGAAACCTCTTGCAGCGCATTCACTCGCATAAGACATTTACGCGTCTAATTCATTCAGAGAGCAAATAGACGGGAAGATTGAGTGACGCCCTAGGGACAGATTAGTCATGGCCATATTATGGAAGGCGACAGTTACTTTGAACACTGACAGACCTAGTCATCACATGCCACAGAACTGTCTGTGCCTGGGCAAATGTCAGTAGGATAAATAAAAGTCCAATTGTGCTGATAGTAGGCGTAATATGTACAGGACCCAATGCAAGAACCTTTTAATGCAAATCTCTCTCAGTTACTACAACTAGACTGTTTGAATTTGATAAAATGTCCAATAACAGTTGAAGGTGCTGCATTTGATGTTTCAGCTCGACCAACAAAATCATCCTTTTTTTAGCCACTTTACCGTTACCGTCAACGCAGAAATAGACTCACCGAATACTACAATATTATGTGCAGTGTTTCCACTTGTTACTTTCAACGTCATTGGTCAAGATAACACAGGTTCACTGGGCAGTGATGAGGTAACAAGTGAAGACCACAGAATAAACCAGACGATAAAGCATTTGACATTTGCCATTCTGTATCGGTAAAAACGTTACCCCCTCCATGGACACTTTTAACTAAGATAAAGTGTGCAGGACTTCCTAATTTCCGTTTCGAATTCCAGAGTCACCCAGTATGCATAGCCACTCGCATCTACTTTTCTTCCACTGAGTTCGGAACTCTGCATTGACAATATGGATCATATTAAATGAAAACAAAATACCATATGCGACAAAAGACGCACCTTTTGAGGAGAAGGAGGAAGATAATGCTCGAGATTAGGAGCAGACAACATTTTTGAGGAGTCATGAATGCGATACCTGTGGGAAATCAAAAAAGACTTGCTGCATCATAGGAAACTCTGGGGAATCAAGGGTAAGGTTTATTTAAAAGGATGGAATGGGTCACGCACGAAAACATGTCATGCTTATATTCTAATAAGAACAAAATTGCAGGGATCTGTATGGAGGAGTGTATGCGTTTTGCCACCATAACAGGCTTTGCTGCAGATGCGCTGGGCCAAACTTCGGTTAGATCGACTCAAGGGGAGCGTTAATTAGGCAGCGCAGTATTGGCGCAGGTCCATAATTACTGCTGTTCATGACGAGGGCGTTGGCCTTCACACCATGCTAATCGCTGCCTACAACTCCATCTCCAGTTGGATGGCACGCTCGAAGACCGACTGGTGCACGGCAGAGGCAGAAGACAGTGAGGTCGGCAGTCAGCCCACAGAGCACTCCTCAACGACGTTTTGAATCTATCACGACGTTGATAGAAGCGAACAGGCAAGTTCCAGGAAGCAGTTCAGAAGACGAAAATGCGATCACTGTAACAAGCAATCTATTGGTCCGACCTTTCGGATTCCCACCCGAACTCAGCATCTGCGAGTGTCTCTAATGGTTAGTTCAAGTGAGAATGCGAAACGTCAGGCCAATACCTTTTTTGTTCCTGTGATCGCATATTCGTCTTCCATCACGACGTGTTTAGGCTTGTGGCCTGGAAGACTGTCAGCATGTGGGGTATGTCGGTTTTGGCCAGTACCGAGTCTCAAGCAGTATTAGGCCCTGCTTTAGGTGATCCTAACTGCGGGAGTGCGGTGCATGCATTAAGGACCGTGTCGTGTGCGACACAGAACCGTTGAGATCTGTCAGCCACTGCGTCCCAATTCCGTTTATGTCCTCTTGAGAGTGTTTTGTCATTGGAGCCAGGCGAGATAAGAGAAGAGAGCGGCAGATTCTGCGCACGTATGCCTCAGTAAAACTAACACACTCTTAGGTCACCGGTGCTGCGCGCACTTCGTCGGACATCCGACGGACGCTGTCGTTCGTGACGGCCGAACTGTCCTGCACTGATGTAGTTTGACATGTCTACTTCGTCCCCACGCATGTTGTGCATCTGTTGTGAGGACCAGTTCTGTGACTATGATGTCCCCTTTTTGTGCGTAATTGTTCGGCGCAGAGTCTGCTTAAATGTTGTTGTTACGACAGACACATGTCGCACGTGTCAGGCATTGCGTAAACAGTCGCATTCCAGCGCGACTTAGATTTTGGAATTCGTGGGCGCATGGGACTTGGAAGAGACAGTGAGGTCAATACACCTCTGATAGAATGCATCACTTGCTCACTAATACATTGCGTGGCCGATCTCATGAAATATTGGCCGAAATTCTGACAAGGAAGGATTACTTACACGGCATTGTAAAACGTACCATCATGCGAGACAATCTAACTGTATTTTGAGCTCGCCAGAATCTGGGTTTTTGAATGAATTTCTCCTCAACCTCCTGCACAAATCACACTCGGTAAAATGACTGCCTAAGTGGCATGCATCTCTTAATATTCGTTTTCCGCGGTCTTATAAATTTCAGTATATTTTATAGAACGAAGGCACACAAATATGCTTTCTTTTTGCCCATTTGGTAGAACTTCCCGCTATTTATGAGATTTTGAAGACCGTTAAATTTCCATTCCTACTGCATCCTGTCTGTACGTTTACCAACGCTCCTCATGAAATGTTCGGCATAGACCGCATCCATTGCAAACTTTTCTGAACTGCGTATGGAGGCTTCCTAAATACGTCAGGAAATAAATGATTTCCCTTACGCGAAAGGCATGCACTTTGCAGCCTGAAATTGCTGAACCCAAAAGCAACGGCTGATCTGGCTGAGGTATTTTAAAGAATAGATAAACATTCTCAAAACCTAAATATACACTTTCTTAGGGCATACAATGTAAAGAAAACGGGATTTTTTAACAAATGAACAAAAGAAAACATCTTTTGTGCATCTTTTTCCAAACATATATCTAAATTTATGAGACCACCGAAAATCAGTGTTAACCATGCATGCCACTTAAGTGGTCATTTTTTACCAAATGTGATTTCTGTGGGAGGTCGGAAAAAATGCGCTCCAAAGTCCGAGACCCCGGTGAGCCCAAAATACTGCGGGATTATGCCGCATGATAATCAGTTTTAAAACACCACGTAAGTAATCCTTTTCTGTCATAAACGTACTTCCGAATTACGGCTCAAATGTCATGCCATCGGCCACCCACTGTTAGCTAACAAGCAGACGCTGAAAATGCCCCTAAGTATTAATAGTCGTACCTCAGAAGGTTGCTGATAAACGGCATAGAGCTGTGTCAACTGAGACTGAGAATCAGCACTTTATTGCACCATCGTTTGCTTTTGACATGCAACTGCCGAAATGAATTCTGGTAGTGTAAAATGTTAGGTTTCCTTTACCACTGATCTTTCGAACTATTTTGGGTGACTCGATTTTTTCTCGACTTTGAAAATCGGTGTAGTCTCAACTCACGTCTGCTTCATTATAAACAAGCACCAAAGCAAGTCGGCATTTTGTTGAGCAATAAGACAGTAGCTTCGTTGTTAGCTTGCGAATAACGGGTTCCACTTTGCATTTGTTCCAGAATAGTTAACTTAATTAATTTATAAAGCAGATATGCTGTCTCATGAATTGTCGACTGAAAGTTCGATATTTGTTTTCAGTTCAAAAAATTAATATTTAAAGTTAGGTTGCCATGTTAATTGTCATGTCATATAATGGTAAGATATTCCAGTCACGTCCGGATGCCGACTTTTGAAAGGGCTTTTAGTCCAATGTTTGTATAAGCTACAATCAGCAAAAATGACTACCTAAGGAGCATGCATTTTCCCCCTAGATTTGTTATGTCAGCATATGTTTAAAAAAATTATCTATTATTATCTATGTTTTATAGAAAACAGGCAGGAGAGCGATCTTTCTTTTATTTTTTTGGTAGCAAATTAGTCCTCTTCAAATTATGTCCAGTAAAAAGGAGTGCATTTTGGTCTTAAAAACGTCTTGTTTAAATTTTATACTTGAGAAAACATTATATACCGGTCTTTAGAAAGATTTTAAATGTGAGATTTTTAAGACCGTAAATAGTCCAGTCATGCATGATCGCACCAGCATATTATTTAATGATGCTTATAAAGTGGACCACTTAAACCATACTCATTGCATAATTTTCCCATCTTTATATGACTTCTCTCAAATAACATATGGAGCTGTGTGATATTCCTTGCACGAAAAGTATACAGCTTGTAGTTTGGAAACCCTGAGTGCAAGTGTAAATGCAAGCGGGATTCAGAATTATTTAGGAAGCTAAAACGTTTTTAAGACCAAAATGCACTCCTTTTTACTGGACATAATTTGAAGAGGACTAATTTGCTACCAAAAAAATAAAAGAAAGATCGCTCTCCTGCCTGTTTTCTATAAAACATAGATAATAATAGATAATAATTGAGACGACATCCATCAGCCACAGAGGGATTACCGAGTAATATTCATCAACTGCTAGAAGGAAATTATTAGTCTATTTTAGGACTACAAGACACCATACTAACAGCACAGGTACTAGCTCTAGTGATCATTTAACGCCATAAGAGGACGTCGGTTGCCTGATGGAATTGTTCGAATTTTTGCCATCACGTATATTTACAGATTATCAGATGGAGCGAGTACTGAATTGTAGAAAATGTGTCAATGATGTTACATTGTGTCTGCAAATCAGGTCTTAAATATGCAATGCGGGCGAAGGGACAAAATTTCAGTTCGAATGGGAAAAACTACAATTTCCTCACGCATATCTGTCTTTGACACACTGGAAGCCAGTTACCATCAAGTAGCTCAACTATCTAAATAAGAAGCTTTCATTTAAGAAAGTGCGTTTTGATAGTCTATTTGAGTGAAAATTATACTTACAGTGTTTCTACAAGCCCATGCGGGCGTTTCCCCTTTAAAGCCTAAACACCATCATAGACAATTGCTTATATTTATAAACGTGTGGGGTAACTGCATTTAAATGTATTGGCACTGTTTGAAAATAACCTCGGTGCCTTCATTCCACACATATGTTTGCTTCATCGATTGCCCAGAGATACATGTTGGTCCGGACATTTTTCAGAATTTCTAACTATGCCTTTTCATCCTTCGTAGATTATTTGAGGTAGACCTCCCACTAACTTCTCGCTCTTGGTCCATCGTTGGCCCCATAGCTAAGGTAATCCCGTTTTTATTTGCATTTGGTTTAATATTTCCCGAAACTACTTTCCGAACCTTTATACAGTCTAGTTTTAACTACAATTAAAGTCTGTTCTGCTTTTCCTGAAATGCATGCTAACTAATTAAGTGACCACCTGGCACTGGGTGTTGTAAGCTAAAGATTTGAGGTGTTAATGGGTCAGTTTCAACAAATTAACCACTCAAATGGTCGAACGGGTACTCTTGCCTGAGAAGACTGCAGTTACATCGCCACCGTATTCTGTCTGGTTGGGATAAATTTCGAACTCTTTCTCATGTCGGGGTCAGTCATGACCGGTTCTCGAGGGAGACGCTGACGCGGATCCCGTTATGTGGATGGATAATCTAGCCCAAAATCAGTATTGCTGATGTCCGTGTGCAAGTTTCACTGCAGTTAGTGGGAGTCTGTGTAGCAATTATAGCAGCCACAGCAAAGCGGGTGGAGTCGGGTCATTTGAAGTGACGTAGCACCATGATTTGTTCTTCTAAACTCCCGCCTCCAAACCAAAGTACGTTCGACCGGCGGCGCGGAGAAAGTTGTCACACACTGATCTGCAGACGCCTACCGGATGTCCAATGAGGCCGAATTTATTTCCAGTTCATCTGAATCTGCTCCAATTGAGACAATGCCTCCACAGACGAGGTTCGAGCCTGCGTAAGGTCTATTCTCTTCTCTCACGGAGAGAAGTGGATCTACAATTTCCTAATCTGTTCCCTGTGATTCCTGATAAGCTTTTGTGCTGTAATTTGGGTGTAGTTTGCTGGTTCAATTTCCACTGGTGGATCTACAGGCATAGGACGCTAAAAAGCTAGGTGTACAAACAAATAATAGATCTGTAACCCATCAGCTACTGCTGCTTATCTGCGTACTGATCACCGGCTGGCGTCAGGCAGTCACCAGTATGCTAATACTAAATGCTTTACCATACTAATCGGCTTATGCCTGGTACACATGCTGTCAATATCGTTAGCCGTTCAGTAGTTGCGCAACGTTCCACTATATTATTCTGACAGTGGAAATTTCCGCTTATGGTTAGTCGGACACAGTGATGTGTCAGCACGCCAGGTTGAGCTTTTGACTTTATGTTGTGCCTCAGTGTGAAAAAGATCAAATAATTAACTGTCAGGTCAAATATGAAACGCGGACAATATTCTGATAAGCAATGTGTTTGAACGCCTTTTGTCCATTTCCTTTTAGCCGCTGTGCATCTCCGTTACTTTTGGTAAGCTATGCTAATATAAGACAATTCGGACACTAAGGCTGTTGTTGGTAAACAGGTTTTTGTAGAAGGAATAAATCTAGCCGAAAAAGCGTCCTCTTGCATGAAAGAAACAAATAATCATGTAATCGCACAAGTCTCTGTAACGCGTTTTACAAACCTAATAAGGACATCACCAGTTAAGTTTTAGGTCGTCTGTAAATGCAAATTCAATTAAATCTAGACGGTATACGGGGCCCGAAGTGGTAAAAATACGGACAGTCCATAGAAAAGGAAATATAACAGATAAATGTTAGAAGAAAAATATGCTTAATATGCAGTATTATATGCTATACTCGGCTGTATGCATATGCACTTCAATGGGACTAATCAAGGTATTGATGTTTCAGGAACACCTCGTACACCCGACAGCCTCTTCACCGCCAGCACAACCAATTTCCAATCTGCCATTGCGGCCAACACCATCAGCATCACCACTAAAACCGATTCTACATCTCCTAGCCTATCCCGCCCGCATTGCCCTCGCATATGCTCATAACACATCGGCCTGTTTGGTTATTAATAAATTCATCGCAGAGAGACCAGCACACCAGTGTCTAGAGCACCAACATACACTCGTCGCCAGCGTGGCTGTGCCATTCGCCTCCCCCAATCTCAACATCAGTTGGTTGATTTATTCGGACTGGTGCACAGAATAGAGCAGAGAGACTGAGGACGACTATAAGCGCACAATGCTCACAATCTGACGTGTTCTAATCCACCAAAGCATGCTGCTGCGGGTCCTGTTTAATGTAGCCTGTTTGACACTCACTCAAGTTGATCCGCACCGGTGTGGTTTCACAAATTTGGCGTGTGGCACGAGTTTAGGTGGGCCATCCACCTGCCCCCCGGTCTCACCTCCGGTCTTCTTGACTACGTTTTAACACGGGGACCTTGGTTGGGATGGAGGAGAGAGGTCGGTTGATGTTGCGCATGTTTACGATCATTGTATTTTTCAGTGTAGGTGTTGTTCTGTGGAGTTTTTATTCGGCCCTTCTTCGGCAGAATGACATTCGCTGACCTGCACCGTCCCGAGGATCCAGTGCTGCTAAAATGTTTATATTGGCTTATTTTTCTTCAATCCCCCCCCCCAGAAGTAATTCTTTGGTAGGAATGAAAATATATTCTTTTCGACTGAATTCCAGTTCTGACCTTAGTCGGCTCCAATCGTAGCAGGATAACATTCGCTGATCCCTACTACCCCGAGTAGTCATTGCCGTAAAATTACCCTTTTGGGATCATAATTCTGCACCACCAACACGTACTTCTTTAGTAAAAGGCATGATAAAACGTTTTCAGTCAGAATCCAGCCAGGCACTTTGATCGCCCTAATCGAGGAAGGAGGACATTCTTTGAGCCAAACCGACCCGGGAACACTGTTCTGCAGCTGTGTTTGCATGGGTTTATTGCCATGCCCTTCCCACACGTATTCCATGTTGTCAGTTAGGTGGCTGTCAGAAACACACTTATCGCTGTCATGTCCGAGTATCCAACGGAAAATATTGTGACACGACTTTTTCCGTATCCTCTAGGATTTACAGACTGGTGCCCCTACACCGAAATTATCACAGACAGAGCAGTCAGATTTCCTTTGTGTGTAAAAGGTTACATACACGGTGAGTAATTCGGTTGCCGTGGCGTCGCCGTAGACGTTAGACATCCCCAATATCCGACAGAAGATTTTCGAACGTATTTCTGCTTGTTTTCTGCGCAGGGAAAAAATACGGTCTGTATTTTTGAAACCCTAAGTGCTTGCATAGCAGCAGGTCATGCTCAAAACTAGTCAGGAATTAGAAAGGCTTTTTAAAACCAAACTATACATTTTTTCGAGTATAAAATCGAAAGAAGACTTGATTTTCTGCAGAATAAATAAAAGACTGTAATATCTTTGCACTTTCAAGGGCATTGAAAATCGATGAGAAAATTGCATGCTACATAAGTAGTCATTTTTTGTAGATTCTATTTCCTGAATGCAGTCGGAAATAAGTTCATTCGAAAGCCAACACCCTGAGGTAACTGGGCAATTGTAGAATCATCCTGCATGATGATTAGTTGTACAACCCTATCTAAATAATCTTTTAGAATCGAAAACGCATTTCGAAATTTCGGTTGACATTTCATGGGTTAGCACACCTACTATATGCATGCCAGCCACCTACGCCCGCTCTTACCTCCGGTCTTCTTGACTCTGTCATAACACGGGGCCTCGTTTGGGATGGAGGAGAGAGTGCGGTTGATGTTGTGCAATGCCAACATCATTATAAGCTAAATCGATCGCAAGCAACCGTCCCTGTGGTCGCTTTGTTGTGGGTCACAGGGCAAATCTGGTCGAAATCAAAGTTCGAGCTGTCGAATGTTAATTAATATGGTTTGCAAGAATGTGATGTGAAACGCACAGAATGAAATAAAAAGCAAACAAGATGGTAGAGATAAGGAAAAATCGTGGAATAATTTACGTCTGCAGAATGTTATTACCGACAAATATAATGGAGACATTGTCGGTAATACCATTCCGCCTATATCATGCGCCGCTGTGCGGCTGCTGGTTGGGGCACGAGAGAGAGTCCAGAAGACACAACGGTACGAGTTAGTTCCGTAAGAACTATCGTGAGCGCCCCCTACCATTAATTTATATCTGTAAGCGTAAACTAAGACTTCAGCACTGGAACAGCAAATTCTCAGACAGTTTATTGTCCAAATGGCGCATTAAATTAACGAAAACTTTCAAATAATAAGGCAATTACGATTAGTAGTGCAGAGAGGCTCTTAAAGAATAAGTTAAAATATCATCACAACATTATTCCGATATCATTTCTTCGACATTCGGAGTCATATAAACGTCGCAAAGTGAGACTGAGAGCACGTAGTCCTCTTACACATCCAAGCAGGGAATAGTGAAATATCATGTATGAGAAGCTACTCTTCACCCAAACGTAGGCCCTATTACATAAATCCGCTCACACTTCACGAACGCATGTATAGAGAACACTCCCACACAGCTATTCAAATCGCCGAATAAAAATATTCGGCAAAATGAACGGTTGGTAACGTTGTACACTTGCCAAAACAATCCCAGTAACTTTCCCGCAACAAGCACTTTTGGCTGCAAGGTCGGGCTTAAAATAACCGGCATTAGAAGAAATAAAATGCAGCTCATTTATTTCTTAAATTCACATCACACTGCAAATGCAGTAAATTCGGACAATTACAGTTGGCTGCTCTCAGCCAGAATCAGTTGCAGTCGTCATTCCATTCCGAAACCGATAGGTTAAACTCTCCGTCTTTCTCAACCACATGCACCCCTTCATGCGGCATTAACGTCGACGGTTTGCAATCAGAAATTTGCTCCAACTGAAGTCCGGCTAGTGCGCAGTGCATAATAAGCACCAACGGCTTGTCTACGCGCACAAATCACACTCGCAGTACAATCCGATGATGGTACGCTTACTACACCATACTTCTGAGGTGGTTCTAGTACATTAGTTAATACATAAAATGTCTTAAATCATTTGCTCAGATATCAAGGAGAGATTATATCAATGCCAAGAGACGACCATTCCAATCAGCTAGGCTATCATCAGCCAGCCATCTCCCAACTGCCTGGCAGGAAGCACCTGATATTTAAATACGGTTCATACCAGCAATCGGCACTGGACCTGACAAATTTACCAGTTCAATCATAACACAGTTTCAAGCCCGTTGATATCGTTTTCACCTTTCCGTGTGGCACCCGCACTGATGTGATGTTTGTCTATATGTTCAAAATGCCTGTATCTTGTAGAAGGTAAGAGTACAATAGGTGACCTATTCCACATTATGTTCAGCGAAATTCTGACGCTTTTTAAAAGGAAGGATTATTTAAGTGAGGTTGTGGAGGATGAGTCTGTAAAGCAGGCATGTTTACCCGGATGTCCATATTAGCGGGTGAATGTCGACTGAAGCTTAGGTTATAGGAATGCCCATGTGTGCGTACAATGCGTCGGTTAATACCACCAGCCGGAATTCCCTTCCTACCTCGCATATCAGACTGTTTGTACGTACGAAAAGGCCACGATTTGCACCCCCCTCGGGAGTCCCCTCGTCTACTATGCACAGCCCTTCCCTTCCCCATTGAAACAGGTCTGATTGGCCTCTGTTACCCCTACAGGTTACACCCCAGACATTTAATCGGGCTGCACTCCTTAATATCGGGTACAGGTAGGCAGTGAAAGCGGCCGATTATTCTTGCTCCATTTTCCACGATGTTGACCTCCTACCCGAGGATGACCGAATGCTATACGCGTGCGAGGATCAGCCCCTCCACATGTCTGCAACTATCGATAAATTTAATTATTCGTAAGTCCTTCTTCCTCATAGTTGGAGCTCGCTGAATGGTGGTACTCGACATTTGTTCTATCGAGTCATGCCTATTTCGATGTTGGTTGTTGCTGAGCTAGGTCTCCAGTGAGAAGTTCCCCAAGTCAAAAGTCAATGGGACAGATGTGAGTGGCACAGTCTTTACTCTGGCTTGAAGAATGCAGAGTGGCCCAGTCAGACGCAGCAGATGTTTCGGTCACTGTCGTCGATGGGCCGAGTAGATGGCAGAAAATATACGTTATATCACGTCCTAGTGTTCAGTTAATGGTCGTCCAGGGGCGGTTTTACTATGGATTCAGGTAACAAGAATGCTTCCCGCGTGGCAACGGGTCATTCAGCTTCATGACTTGATTCCTGATGGTTGTTATCGATTCGGGCAATGAGAATGTCCTTTTCAGAAGAAAAAAGAGGACTATATTAAAGAAGAAGAAGAAGAAGAAGAAGAAGAAGAAGAAGATGATGATGATGATGATGATGATGATGATGATGATGATGATGATGATGATGATGATGATGATGATGATGATGATAATGATGATAATAGTGTAGATGCGACTGCTGAAACAGGAAGTCTATTGGCCTGACGTTTTGGATACTCATTCAAGCCCATCATCGGAGACAGTCACACATACAGGTATTGGAGGCACAAAGACTGCAGTATTTATAGTTCGTAGCTGCCACGGAGCCGCATGCGTATTATACTTAACAGTTCTCACGATCACCGCCCCAGCTACATGTCCTGAAACCGGCGAACCAATTGATGTGCCCTTCACCTGCTCGTAAATGGTCCCGTCGAAATTAAAGTACGTCCTGAAACAGACCTGCAGGAGTTGGAGGATTTGGGCGTGTCCGAGGCAATTCTCCGTTTCATCGTACTTGTTTCGTAGGAGTAGTGTTATGGTCTCGACTGCCAGGTCCTGCGGGATAGAAGTAAAAAGGACGTGACATCAAAATATACCATGACGTCTTTTATTTTCTTTAAGAATTGTGTTGGATTCGAACGGGACATAGGACTGACGATCCTCTAACAAGTCTTTGGCTTCCTGAATGTAGTCTGTCCAGTCCAATACGACCGTGGAGAACCCCTTGTACACAGGCACGACAACGAGGCCATTGTCGGCCATGAATTCCTTTAGTCCATAACGTTCGCCCTTGGGAAGCACGTTGCGACCTATGAGCTGTGATGAAGAATGACCCTTTGTGTCAAATAAGGTTCTTCGTTTCGGCTGTCGCTTTTTCTGGTTGAGAATTGACTCCGCTGATGAAACCATGATGGCAGGTTTGGCATCGGATGTTTTGAATGAGGCCCCAGTCCGCTTTCTCTTCCCTCATGCTGTGGCTAATAGGGGCTTCCGGTTAGAAACTTCATGTTCCAGATTATAAAACTTGCAGCTTCTGTCTACGGCATATCGCATCGTTTCCACTGATTTCCTAATCTTCAGTCTGATTCGATTATTCATTCATTTGGTCGCGTAAGAGCGTTCGTTCAGGCAACATCGATTCCTGACTCCGTTCACATAATAACCTGCGGAAATAAGCAACGACATACCGCTCTACATAGATGACCTCCGTTCGTATGAACACACCTAAAGATTACCACAAATAGCTATGAAATTAGCGGTACCACGTTTGCCCTGGGCTGATGCATAGGCCTACTGGCTTTGCGTACGCCCGTCCGTCAGTGTCGCAGCACGCTTATTAAGCTTCCGATAGTGTTGCTTTTACGCGGCCACAATTGTACAGCTATCAAGGGCCTTATTGTCGATTCCGAAATTTGTTATGCAGGCAATCACCTCAGTCGTTGGACTCCTTTGTCAGTTACTAAAAGAAAGTCAGTAGGCACTCTCTAGGAATGTAATACAGCGGGCCGTTGTTCAGGCGCCCTACCTACATCCGAGGGTCAACATTTACCAGCATGTGTAATCGAACAGCTTGGAAGTGCAATCGGAGGAGACATGGAAGGGGACCACGCGCAACAATATATAGCACCCCAAGGACTGTTTCCTTGATGCATTTAGCAGTAACTCAGCTGCACTTGTCATACATACTCACCATAACGCAATGTCATCTTATATTCATCTCCACTCTAAGCTCGGAACCGATAAGGATTTTTCGCCTGTAAATAAAAGACAGTTCACAATAGCGAGAAAACAATTTCTGTGCCAAGGACTTAAGACAAATGAGCGTGGAACATCAGACTGGATTTCACTTAACTTCGGCACGAAATAGGTCCGAGATTGTTTTAACTCCCTGACAGAAAATGGTGTGTAAACATACTCGCTGGCATTCATGCGTGTGAAGTTGTAAATTACCCCAGTTTTTGCAAATGTCTACATCATGGGAACTGACACCGAAATTAGTACTTTCGACAGTGTGCTATCTTGGGCTAAGATTGTTCAGCCGACGATTTTCTATCGACCCTGAAAAGGGTTAATTTGAAGTATATTCACTTTGTCTATTTGCTTGCCAGCAGCAAAGGACATTAAGTCGCAAAAAACGGAAAACTGACATGCCATCGCAATCGTAGTCACGTTACTTTGTACGTGAGAATGTAGGCGTTTTCCCTGTTTTAGTATAAGTTATACATTTGGTGAGCTAACTCATGAAATGTATCGGAAATTACGAATGCTTGTTGATCACGCACAAACCGACACCGATGCATAGACATAATATCCGTATTAATCAATACAAAATTTAAGGAAATAGGAAACACAAAAGAAATATTAAATTTTGGATTACCCATATTTAATAGAAAAGCGGTAGATTCCGCAAACGTCAGAAATGGTTGCAACTGTGAAGACTTTAGTTTCATATGTATAGAAAGCTTATCCATGCAAAACACTGAGTACATGTGATAACACAAATGGAATTACTACTATAAGTAATCTTTTGGTAAAGTTTACATTTAAATACACTTTGAGAGTTAGTGCAATTTCAGGTATGATGAATTTCCAAAAGCCTACATTCTGAGACTAGATTCCAAAAGGTCTTTTCGATGATTTGCTGTATTTTTCATGCTTTTGAATTGATTGACATACGGTTCAAGAAGACAAAAAGAATTTTGCCTGATCTCTCTGCTAGGGACGTCATAGGAAAAAAGGTCTTCATAAGGGCGCATGTTGCCAGGCAGGTCAGTGACTGATAAATCTAAATGAAATTAACAGACGCAATCGAAAACATGCCATTTTGTGTATAGAAAGAGAACTTTTTGCCGTGAAATTAATTTGGACTTTTAATTTGATCTGGATTTCGTTGAGTTTCAGACCGGCCGTGAAATATCGCTGAATACTTCAGGATTTTCCATCACATTCGGAATCACGAAACATTGTACAAAAGGGTATCAGGTGTGTTCTCTGTCTCATTATCTAACATATAAGTGTGCAGTGAGAACTCGCGTGAAGACTGAAGCAGGTGTCTGCAAGACCACTACCAGGACAAAAAGAACGACTTGCAAGTCTCACATGTGTCGGACTAGCAAATCAAGCCCCAAGACACTTCGACCGCGCCCAAGCTGACAGCAGGATTTCTACTCTCGGATTGGCCGCATCGGACATAACCGGACACAAGGTAATATCAACATGATAGCTAACCCCTTCACGGAAAACACTGCCATCGCCACCACCAATAATAAGGACATTTCTGACACCATGTCACCCACTCTCTCCACTGTCATCGCTCTTCCGTTTCGTGCATCGGCCTGGTCAGTCATTTTTTAATCGGCGAAGACCCAACCACCACTTGCCACATGCATCTCACCTGCTCACAATGCGTCTGGACCTTTTCATATCATGACCCATCTCATGAAACCTTGTGACAGAACCTGATGTAAGAATTTAGGACGTCTTAAAAGTTGCGCATTTTGCTTACCCGCTCAGCATCCTTTAGGCAAGGTCCGCATCTTGTGTAGAAATTGTATCCACGTAATTTTTTAAGCAAAATGTTCATAAATTTGGCCGAAAATGGACGTTGCGGTATACTCGGGCAATTCCCTGTGCTAATACCTGGTCTGGACTTCGGTTGCCCATCTAAGATGGTATTCCCTTGAAAGGAGAGTAATTTACTCCTGAGAGTTTTAATAAACAGAGGCTGCCAGACTTGAAAATAAATTTTTTATCCGATGGTTAATGTGGTTGTCAACTTCCTAAAGCGAAGGTTATTATAAGAGAACCAGATATTTTGTCGATTCATAGAATTTCGATTAGTAGATCTGTGCAATTTTGTGCCCTAAAGTTCAGTAATAACTTACTTGTACTTGTACTTGATACGGCTGCGATCATGCCTGATCTAGCCGGCCTCGATGATGGCCCGAATTGTACCTCTCCACGCGTGACGATCCGCGGCAGCAGATCTAGACAGCTCAACCCATTCCCTTCGCCAACGACGGAGACCGAATACCAAAGGTCCAAGAACCACCTCCATGTCTTGACGGACAGTGTCGAGCCAGGTTTTGAACTGACCCCCTCTTCGACGCCTCCAATTGGGCAACGGTGCCGGATCGAGGGCAGTAACACTGAGCTCCTGAGGTGGACGACGAAGAACATGCCCGAACCACCTCAGTCGTCTTTCTTGGATGGCCTGAGTTATCCTCGCGATGTTGTCGCAGCGAGCGCGGACTATCTCATTTGAGAGGAAGTCGGTTAACTTCACTCGAAGGATGATCCTCAAGCAGTGGTGGTCAAATACCTCCAGTTTTCGCTCATCCGCCACGCGCAAAGCCCAGCAATCACAACCGTAGAGAAGGACAGACCGGACAGATGCACGGTACACGCGAATCTTAGTGGCGATGGAGAGGTCACGTCGGTTCCACAGGCATTTCCGAAGGCTTGAAAAAACCCAGCGGGCAGCATCGATTCGGGAGACAATGTCGTCCTTACTCTGCCCATTAGGCAGCAGCCGCGCCCCGAGGTATTTAAAACTGTCCACTTCTTCAAGTTGACAGCCATCAATCCCCAGGGGTGCCTTCTCCTGGTCAGGAATGCAGCTTGAGAATACTTTGGTCTTCCCAGCGTTTATGGACATACCGACTGATTTAGCGACCTCGTTCACTCGTGACACCATAGACTGCAGATCACCAAAACTTGAAGCAAGTAAGGCGATATCATCGGCATAGTCGAGATCAGTCAGTCGATGTCCGGGTGCAAATTCAACACCGTCACTGTCGCGTAGGGCCCTCCCGAGGATCCAGCCGATAGCGTAGTTGAACAGTATGGGTGACAGGATACAACCCTGTCGGACGCCAGACCGAATACCGAACGGTTGGGAAAAATTGTTACGGACCAGGACGCTCGCAGTAGTGGAACGATAGTAGGCCTTGATCATGGCGATGATTTTGGCCGGTACACCATCTAGCGCCATTATCCGCCACAGGGACTCACGGTGAACGGAATCGAACGCGGCGGCAAAGTCAACGAAGCAGACGGCTGTCGGTTGTTGGTAGCTATGGCGAAATTCGAGAATGCGCCTCAGTGTGAATATCTGATCTGCACATCCACGTCCAGCACGAAATCCGGCATGGTTGGGCCTCGTCCTTGAGTCACGCACAGCCTGGAATCGTCCGAGTAGGACAATAGCGAAGATCTTCGCAGCAACGTCGATGAGACTTATGCCGCGGTAGTTCTCGCATCTCGTCTTATCTCCCTTCTTGAGGATAGGTACAAGGATGCCTAAGCCCCAGTCATCAGGAACAACCTCGTCTCTCCACGCGCGTTCAATCACCTCATGGAGCCAGGGCGCCAGAGTGTCGACACAAGACTTAAAGATTTCAGTGGGTATACCGTCCTCTCCGGGTGCCTTATTGTTGCGCAACTTTCGTATGGCATCGACGACTTCTTCCTCGGAGGGGGGACCGCATGGCACTGCATAGGTAGGAAAGGGAAGAAACTCCGCTGAGGAGGAGAACAAGGGCGATGTAGGTTGGGTATCGAAGTTGAGATGGTGCTCAAAGTGCTCACGCCAGCGCTCGACTTTGGCCGAGTTGTCAGCAATAAAGCCGCCGTTCACATCGCGAACAGAGTCACTCAGTGTAGAGGGCTTACCGCTAACTTGGCGGATCAGACGGTAGAGCTTTCGAGTGTCACCAACGTTCGAGGCCTGTTCCATGGATGTCGCTATTTCAGCCCAATATTGTTTCCGGTCATCCCTGGCCGATTTTGCCGTCATCTTCCGAAGTTGGCGGAAGTAGTCATCGTTGCGGGACCTGGCTCTAGCCGTCTGAGCAGACAACTGCAGGGTTCTTCCGCTGATCCAGTCACTGCGGCGTCGCTGGGTGTATCCAAGGATTTTCTCAGCTGCCCCATAGACTGATGTCTTCAGTGACGACCACTGGTTACTGACTTCTCCGTCAACTCGGGCCGTAAAACAGGTCCGGATTTCTCTGCTTAGGGCCTCGGCAGTGCTGGCTTGCCGGATTTTTGCGACATTGAGGCGTCTAGGACGTGGCATTTTTGGTGCGGATGAGAGGTGAACTTTCAGGCGTGTACGGACGAGGACATGATCCGACCCATGGGCGTTACCAGTCTCGGCACCACGCATCGATCTGCTATCGTGAACCCAGCTGCGGAACCTTGAGCTGACTAGTATGTAGTCAATCTGACTGGCCGTACGACCGTCGTTTGAATACCAGGTCAGCAGATGTTTTTTGCGATGCTGGAAGCACTAACACTAATTTATGAAGGATATTTAAATGTAAACTTCACTCAAACATTATTTTTAACTGTGTTTCTATTTGTGCTTTTATATTCATTCAGTTTCTTTCCATGGGCAGACGTTTCGAAAGTTTAAAAAAGAAGTTTACTAAATTTCAACCATTTTCGACGTTTTCGGGATCTTGCGCATTTCAAAGGAATTGACATTTCTAAACAACGCAACATTGCCTTTATTATTTATTCTGTGCTTCTGATTCTCTTGAATTGTGTTTTATGACTATAGATATTGGGTCCACGGGTTGGTGTGAGCAAGCAAGTGATAAGCAATCATTCGTAAATTTAGACACATTTCATGAGTTAGGTCACCCACTGTAGACACCGAATAAGTTTTTCTGGACGTTTATACCTCCAGACCGCATCATCACACCTCACTTTACATGTCTACCGATAGCCGTGTATCGCACACGAGCTTCCTACTTGCCACGGTTCACCTCCTGCAATATCATATCCATCTGACATCAAACAGGCATTTCGTTTCGCCACATCGGGGGGAGAAACATCGAAGGTCAGCAAATGCACATCTTACGGAATTGGAAAGAGTTTGGAACAACTTAAGTGTTACGACTGACGTCGTCATTTAGTCTGACGACGGGTCAATGTCACCGACTTGAAAATTTACGAGTACAACTCAATTTTCCCAAGAGTTTTCACTTTCTCATACATATATGTATATATATATCGTGTTCATCATCTCCTGAAGAAGACGAAGAAGAAGAGAGGGCGAATTCATGGACCATATTGTATTCGAACTGACGTTTCGGGAACTTCATCCCTTCCGTCATCATAGAAGCGTAATTGTTGCACATGCCGGTCTCGATTTGTTCAGTCTTGTCCCTTGCCTCGTATTATAGCCGTGCTCGACGCGCGAACTTTGACCTGCCTGTTTACCACTGACTGGCTTAGACCTCCCCGGGGCTGATCGATGACAGGCCTGCGTGACATTTGTTTCCTTTGGAGACGGCGTAATTGTGGTCAAATCAACGTGCCGCTTGGCCTCTCCCACGTCAGTATATATATATATGCGTAAAGATTCGAGGTCCAGACATTGTATCGCGTTCATCATCTCCCGAAGAAGACGAAGAAGTTGAGAGGGCGAATTCATGGACCATATTGTATTCGAACTGACGTTTCGGAAACTTCCTCGTTTCCACCGCGATGGCACGCTTCTACGGCCTACCAAAGGTCCACAAGCAGGGGGTACCGCTACGCCCCATCGTCTCCTTACGTGGTACTCCAACCTTTGGGCTGTCAAAGTGGCTGTACCAGCGACTTTGTTTCCTTACCAAGGATTCGCAGTGGACAGTGAAGTCAGCTGAAGAGTTCTTGACGCGCATCAAACATCTCGAAGTGGAGGCAGATGAGGTGATGGTGTCATTTGACGTGATCTCATTATTCACCTCCATCCCACCCGCGCTGGCTATTGACACTATTGATGGCTTTCTCCGGGAAAAGTATGATAAAACCGACCAACAGCTCAAACGAGCACACATCATCGAGCTCCTAGAACTGTGCCTTAAGACCTTCTTTACATTCAACGGCCAAGTCTACGAGCAAAAGAAGGGGACACCGATGGGCTCGCCTCTGTCTGGACTAATTGCCGAAGCAGTTTTGCAGAGGCTCGAGCAGCAGGTCTTCAGCTCGTACCCCCCGAAGTTCTGGGCCAGATACGTCGACGACACGTTCGTTGTAATCAAGAGGAGCGAGGTGAAGGCTTTCAAGGCATTGTTGAACTCCATCTTTCCCGATATTCAGTTTACTATGGAAGAGGAAGTCAACAATCAGTTGCCCTTCCTGGACGTACAAGTTACGAGATTGACAGACGGGAAGATAAGGACAACGGTTTACCGTAAGGCAACAAATACCAGGCGCATCCTCCACTTCCGAAGCAACCACCCTGTTGGTCATAAACGCAGTTGTGTCAGAACTCTCTTTCAACGTGTTCAAACACACTGTAGCGACGACAGTGGGAGGAAGGAGGAGATGAATTACTTACACGCCCTTTTCAAAGCCAACGGCTACCCGAAGTCCTTCATACGCAATTGCCTCAAAAAGCCTCATTTTGAGCGGTCGAGTGGAGAAAAGCCCAAGTTCTGGCTCTCAATACCCTATGTGAAGAACGTATCAGAGGCAACGGCAAGAATCCTGAAACCTTTTGGGATTGGCGTGGCTCATAAACCAGAATGCACCATCAGACAGCAAATCATNCAGCCAGTCATATCCAACCCCAAGTGTGGATCACTTGAGATTCGAACCCGGGATCTTTGGTCATGGAGTTGAACGCTCTACCATTGAGCCACGGGCCCGTTGTCCTGTCGGTTGTGATCGGGAATATTAATTATGATAGTGGATGCTCACCGATCAGGTTACGGAACATGCTCGTTCCGTTGTGCCTTGGAGCTCATACTAGAACCCTCGCGGGCAGTCGCACAGCGACTAGTAGAATGATGTAAATCAGGTGGTACCGACAAAGACAAGGGAGACCGGAATGGCCATTTCTGGCTTATTAGCCGTCCTCGGCCAGTCATACCCAACCCGAAAGTTTGGCACCCCCGAGGCTCGAACTCGCGGTCTGTTAGTTAGAAGTCCACGCCTTTAATCACTGGGCCACGAGCCCATCGCCTCTTGGTTTCGATCGGGAATATACAATGGTAGGGGGCGCTCACCGATCGCTCTTACGGAACTCACTCGTTCCGTTATGCCTTACGGCCTCTCTCACGAGCTCCTCCAGCAGCCTCACAGAGAGCACGACATAGGCAGTATGTTATTACCGTAAGAATGATTGGTGAGCGCTACCTACAATCATATGTATATATATATATGTAAGGTGACTGACTCAAGGGCTGGAAACCAGACCTAAAAGCATTCTCTCTCTTTGGATGTGACTTTTTCTGCACTCCCACTAGGGTGCGATGTGAGCCGTGTCCCCCATCTCTGTAAAAACGCAGTACATTGTGCGGAGACCAGGTCGTGTGTTGCACGCGTGGGCGATCTGTTTAACTTTGTCAGACCCTGCCCCCCGAGCCAATCCCCGACCATCTTGACTCTGACTTGCCGTTTGTCCAGGCGGGTGTGGGAGGAGAAAGCGCGGCAGATGCTGTACAAGTCTGCTATCATTGTGACGCAAAAGTTCGACCGTCGAGAGCGACGACTTTGAGCCCGTAAACCACAGATTGGGCGCAGAATCGGTGATTTGTGCAGTAGCTAGAGCACTCTTTCGTCTCACACCAACCGGCTTCCGATGGTTAAAAAGCGTAGGACGACCGGAGGTGGGATGAGGTGAAGAAACGACCACCGATAGTGCGTCTTAGAAAAGACTACTTGCTGTACAGTAAAGTGCTTACGCAAAACATATACCACTGACACAGGTAAACATCTTTTGGTGAGGAAACCAAATCACATGTATCCCGACTGAATGGAAACACTAACGATGATACAGCGGTTACCTTTACGTCGTTAACTGGGCTTTAGGAACAAAATGCACACAGAGCTTTAGCATACAGATTAAACAACAAAAATTCAGGTCACATTAGCACTGAAAACGACTATTTTTGACGGAACAATGGGCTGATTCAACCTTACGCGTACTTATTTCCAAGCTATAGTAGCATTTGAATTGACGAATCTAGCCTCACGTTAAGCGCATTCTGTTTTAAGGAGACGTTTCCGGAGGTGTGAGAGACTTATTTTACTACTTCTTGTTCAGTAGCCATTGTTTTCTGGTCGGAATATAACCTCACGGCAGGGCGGACTTCATAAATAACCGGGGATGTGATGATTGTGCCTTGCGGACTATGGACCTATGGTTTAGAGGCAGAGAGTTTGACTTTAAGAAGAATGTTCCCGGGTGGAGATAGTAAACGTGTCGGACCATGGCCTTGAGACCTGCCTGCCTGATAATTACTAGTGAACCATACCTGTTTATGCAAACTTCCAGGTTCTTGATATTGAAGATTTCGATAACTGTTTACCTCCCACTACGCATTTGCGTGTAAAGCAGAGAGGTCTCGGCCCAAAATGAAGTGTCCTTCTGTCTCCTTTGATTTTTGAATACTGAATGTCGTGAGACATCCAATTTACATAAGTCTGTGAGAACTGTTGTTTAAGTTTTCCCACTTCGTGCGGTTTAGTTCGTCAAATTAACATTTATCTTATTGACACTTTAGACATAAAATCATGGACGTATTTTGCAGTGCTGGAGATATCGCTGCAATGAGGTGGGACCTAAAATACATTTTGTTATAACATAAACAATTTCAGTAACAGTAATAACTGTCGGCAGGGGCAACTGCTTATGTGTGAAACAAACTGGTAATTAAGAGTCGACAGTGGACACTTGAGGAGAGGCGACTAACAAACAACTTCTGCGGTTCGGAAACCCCAGGCGCAAGCACAACGGCCGTTTGCAAATTTAAAACGCCTACGTGAAAATTAAGGGTGCATTCCTATCATGCATGATATACGAAGAAAACGAGTGCTTCTTTGCAAGCAGTTGTTAGAAAATTTAGAGCGAGGCCGCAATATGCCGCCTCGACAGTTAACTGAATGTTTGCATAATGTCACGCCCTTTTTCCTGCCACTTTGCCTCTCCCATAAAATCCGTTATACACGATGACCTGGTTTTTGTTCCCTGAGTGTGATCGCATAATGCGTCCTTAGCAAAACGTGACTTGATATCTAATCAACAAATGTAATTCATTTTCATTTGCGTTGTCTTTGCATGCAGGCGGAATGAAGCGCTTTTAGAAGCCGGCATCTTGGCGCGACCAAAATATCGTGGGAGTATTCAACTTTAAAATTAAGTTCACAACATAACTTGAGCAATCGTTTCGGATCTAGAACACATTTTAAGATTTCGATTAATTTTTACTGGGATAAGTGGCCTATTGTAATTTTCAGAGCCACATAATAATTTAAAATTTAGTTTCCGATTTTATATGATAAATCCGGTTACGAATTATTGAAAAATGACCTATCGAATAAAAAGTTCGAGGCAGCTAGTTTTCCGTATGGCATTATTGAATTTCACCCTTACCGCGTATTTTGGCAACGTCTTCAGTATAGTTGAAATTATACCGAATGCTTTCATCAGTACTCCACAGCTGACCGAATTATTATTATCTAGGCTGCAGTCGGCTCATTTCCGCTAGAAGCACCCTAAAAAGATGTATCCATTTAACATCATCCTGTTTATGAGAGAAATGAAACAAACGAGGATAACATGATTTAACTTTCCTACAAGTACAGTTAAAATGCTGAAAACAATCCGTATACTTCGCCGGCAACGTGAAAACATCAACATCTTCCTTCCTGCTTGCATACAAATGGACTTTATGATAATTTTGCGTATTGATGTTATCGTAGTTTCTTTGTCCGCAAAAAACCACCTTGGGGTCACTGCTGAAGAATCTCTAACCACTTGTCTACTGACCGTACAATCATGATGCATCTTTATTTCAAAATGCAAAAACCGCGACCGCCAAGAGGATACCTAAGCATATTTTAAAAAAATCAGTTCATTTCAGTTAATTCAAGGGAAAGAAGGCGTATGTTTTTAAAATTCCCATTTGCCACGCGCAGAGGAAGTAGCAGAAAAATCTGAGGAAACTGCAAAGAAAAATTCAAAAGCTATTCAGATAAACAAAGTATTTTATGCGTTAACAGCATTGGAAAGCTTATGCACTCATTTAGATTCGTAAAACAGTAGTTACTGGAGCACACATAAACTACGGGGAAAAATATGATTTGTGGTATGCTAGCGCTATGGTGGATGCGAGTAGAGTGCTAAAGTCCATACATTAGTAAATTATGTAAGCAAAGGTTACTAAAAGATTTACAGTAGTATCCTAGCGGTAACAAATTGTTAACGTAAGGTACCAAGACGATAGCGGTCGAATGGTATTTTGGTACGCACTGCAGTGTCGATCCACCTTCCTTTTAAAAGCTTTTTACGGAGACAGACACAGTAACCTCCAAAAAAAGAGGGGGCGTTCACCGGGAAGGGTTTATTTGAGATCCGACGGGTTGGATGCGGGTTGGATGCACCCACACAGGCGGCATTGGCGGATCACGCATTGGACAAAGGGCGCCATAATAAGGAGTGCTGTGCACAGGACCTCCCAGTCCCTGAAGATGGGTAGACGGATAAACTACCCGAAACGTCGGATCTCAAATAAACCCCTCCAGGTGAACGCCCCCTCTTCTTTTGATATGCCACCTGGGAATCGGATTTTCACTACTATTGACAGTAACCTCCTCAGGCAAAGCATCCCAAGCTTCAACAACTCTGTTGGGGAAGAAAAACTTCCGTGTGTCTAGCATGACACTAATTACACGTAATTTGAGTGAATGACCTCGCAGGTTAGACGTAGTCATCAAATCGAAGAAGTCTCCAGAGACGACGCAGCAGTCCTGATCGCTCAGGGGGCAGAAAGCTTGCGCAGGTCGTCCAGTAGCTGCTTCTAACTCAAGGGAAAGAAATCGAGATTAATTAACCGCGTTCCGCAAGGTAGTGACCACTGTCCAAGTTCAAGTTTCGTTGCTCGCTGTTAAATTTATTCAAGTTTGTTGAGGTCTTTAGCGGTCCGAGGTCTTCATGCATGGATAGTAAATCCTAGATGCGGCTGCAAAAAAGTTCGAAAGACCTTAGAGAAGTAGTCTTCATCGAAGGAAGAGACCGTTCGTTTGACGAAGTATAGGATGAACATCGCCGACTTTGAGCAGTGTAACGAAGTTGATTCACACACCCAAGTATGTCTATGTGTCCGCTGCTTACAATGCAATGCCATTCAGGCGGTAGACCGGGCGGTTAGGATAACTGGTTCCACCTATGCGTAGGAAGTTACACTTGTCTACGTTAAACTACAAAAGCCAGTCGTTTGACCACTGCTCGAGGCGTTCTAGGTTTGTCTGCAATCGCGCCTCCTCAACTTCATTTCATATGGTACTAGAGATCTTTATAATATCAGCAAACACTGCGAAATCGCAATCCAGTTCGCTTGCACAGTCGTTGGCGTATATAATGAACAGTGTATGACCAAGAACGGACCCTTGCTGAAAATCACTCCTAACAACAACCCCCGCCGACTGCTGTTGACTGATATAATCAATTTGAGAGCTCCGAACAGAAAGCTTTGAATCCACTTACCTATCACTCCTATGTGACTACGGTTGAACAGAAGCGATGGTGAAGCACCATACAGAAGGCCTCCTTGAAGTCAAAATAGACTGCATACACTGTAATCCCTCTATCAACCGCCCGGGCACAGTGTTCTGGACAG